CACCAGGTCTGCCCACAGCCCCGCACGCAGCCCCGGGCCACCCAGGGGTTGTCCTGGTCCCTGACCCAGCGATTTACAAGGGGTGACCTTGGCCCTGCGGTGCTATCTGCTGGCACGTGCACCCCGAACCCGGGCTCACCAGGAAGCCGGGAATCAGCCTTTGGACGGCCCGGCCTCGGGTCCCCTCCCCGTGCCAGCCGGGCTCCCAGGACAGCTGCCAGCGAGACTTCCTCGAGGCATGGACCCAGGGGATTGCCTCCGGGACCCTGGGGTTCAGGTGGTCACCCCTCCTTGCCTCACACCTGCCGGAGCTATTTCAGGGTCACTTGGAGGGCTCCTCCCACCCAGCACCACCCCGGCCCGGCGCCACCCCCGCCAGCTCCTGAGGCGCGGAGACGGGCAGCAGCCCTCTCTCCCTTGGAGAACGAAGACTCGGGGCAGGAAGTAAACTCTCGGGTCCCCAGCTGGACAGGCAGGGCCAGGGCTCCACCCGGTTCTGTCCTTGTCCATGCCCTGCGGTCCCTCCACCTCCTGGCCTCACCCCGAATGGTCTGAGGACGGGCTGGCCTGCTGGCCCCATCTGGTTACTTGGCCCCCCAGCCGCCGAGCCGGCCCTCGGCCACCAACCTGGGGGACGGAGACGGGAGGAGGTCACTCACCTTCCCGAAGTCTCGGACATCGAAGAGGTCGAAGGGGTCAAACAGCTCGCTGTTCCTTAGCCCAAACTTGTCGTGGCAGACTTTGAGGAACGTGCGGATGTTCTTCAAGCACAGGAACTGGGGAGAGAAGGGAAAGCGTGAACCCTGGGGCCGACGACAGATTCCGCGGCCCCGGGGCCAGCACAGTCCTGCTCAGGAGACGCACCCGTGAACGTCCCACCGCCCAGAGTCACAGACAGCCCAGCCCTCGGCTTCTCACGACCATATGCCCCCCACCCCGCCCAAGGGGACGCAGCACATTTCAACCTGACAATCTTGACTGGAACAAAGATGCTGGCCTTGAGTGAGCAAGGATGGAGCGTGCACACGCGCACACACACATGCATGCATGCACATGCTCACACACATACACGTGCACAGGTACACACACCTGCACCTTCCTGGGCACAGACTGGCCACAGTTACTTTACAAGTGACAAAGCCGACAGCCGGGAAGCACCCGGTGAATGGAGCAGCACAGGACGCCACAGTCGGGGCTGGAGCCGGCACAGAGGCCAGAACCCCCAGATCAACATCCAGGCGGCTCCTCCCCCCTCCCCCGCCGTACCCCAACACCTGGGCTCCCAGCCTGCACTGGGCATGGCTCCGCAATGGGGGAGGAGGCATGGGGGAGGGATCGCCAGCTTGCAGCCCTGAGAGGAGGAGCTGGTGGGAACTTAGGGCGGCAGGTGAGGTGGCCGGAGCTCAGCCCGGTCACTGGCCCTGGTGGCACCGTCGCTGATCCTGACTTGCGGGACCAGGGGGAGTGGCTCGGCCCCCGAGACCTGGCTCCGAACACGAAGCCCCTCACTGGGTTAATTTTGTGCCCTAAGGGCATGGGTGGTGCTCGGTGTATGGGAGCCCCCGGCCCACCCCGTCCACCCCGTCCAGCTCCGCGTGGGTGCCCATGGGGCGAGACGCCACACACAGCGGAGAACAACGGGGTCTCAGTCATCCTCCCTGGTAACCGCTCACTAGGCGCCCAATGGCATGGGTGGTGCTCGGTGTATGGGAGCCCCCCGCCCACCCCGTCCACCCCGTCCAGCTCCGCGTGGGTGCCCACGGGGCGAGATGGCCACACACAGCGGAGAACAACAGGGTCTCAGCCATCTTTCCTGGTAACCGCTCACTAGGCGTCCGACGGCTCCATGCCCAGAGCCACAGAGAGCCCGCCTGCTCCCCGGAATTCAGACCAATGGCCGGTTCAGGTGAAGGACAGGCCAGATCGGAGCTCCGGCAGTGGGGGGGGGGGGGGGGGGGGCTGTGTGTATCATTTTTTCTGAACTGTAAGAGAAAACTGCAGACTCGACCCCCCTTCACCCCAAACACCTGAATCCGAGTGTATTTCCTAAGAACAGGACCCCCCTCCCCCCACAGGCCAGCACCCACGTCAAACCGGGAAATGAACTGGGTCCCACCCGTGCCCACCTTCCCGCGCACCTGCTCTCATTTCTTCACCATAAAGGACAACCAAGGTGTCATCAGAGCACAGAGTAAAAACCCCGTCTGCGCCTGTAGCTGCCATGTCTGTCTCCGTGAACCTAACAGCGGCGCCCAGGGAACCTTCTGGAACAATGGGGATGCCCTCTGTCTGCCCGCTGAGCACCTGAACTGCGGCCGCGCCAGCTGAAAAGCGGCACCTTTACCTTCATTTCATTCGAATTCATTTAAACGGAGTACCCTCATGTGGACCCAGCAGACGCCAGCCTCTCACCCAATTCCTGGCATTTTTAAGAATGCGGACACGGGGACACGCACTGTAGGTCCCAGGTGTACACGGCACCGGGGCAGGTAAATTCACAGACGGGAAGAGCGGCAGAGCAACGGTGCCGGGGCTGCGGAGGGAGGGGGTGGGGCGGCTGGGCTTTCTGTTTGGGAAGATGAGAAAGTTCTAGAGAGAATAGTGTGACGGTTACATAAGCCTGTGAACTACTTCACTCTCCGGTGTAACTTGCACTGGTTAAAATGGTAATAGTTACGTTGTACAGATCTCACCGTGATAAAAACATTGATTTAAAAATTAAGGGGCCTAGCCAGTGCGGCTCCGTGGTTAGAGTGGTGGCCCACAGGCTGAAGG